TTCCTGCTCCTCTGATGCTGCTTGGCCTGCTGTGTTCATCCAGCTCTACACCTTGTTATCTCAGATAATCCAGTGCGTGGTTTTTATAAAATGCCAGCCCCTGAAGTAATTTTCAATTGATATAATTTTTTGTTTGATTAATTTGTTTGTGGGTCAAGGTATGACACGCTAGACCTGCATTTGTTAGATCTGGGCAGCACAGTCCCTCAGTGGTTAGTACTGCTGCCTCATCACACCAGGGACCTGGGTCCAGCCCTGGCCTTGGATGGTGGACTGTGTGGACTTTGCATGTTCTCCGTGTGGGTTTCCTCCCACAGTCCAAAGATGTGCAGGCTAGGTGGAATGGCCATGGGAAATGCAGGGATAGGGTAGGGGTTGGGTCTGGGTGGTATGATCCTTGGAGGGTTGGTGAGGACTTGATGGATTGAATGGCCTGCTTCCATACTGTAGGGATTTTATTATTTATTGTCCATCCTCAATTGCCCTTGAGAAGGTGCTGGTGAGCTGCTTTGTTGAACTGCTGTGGTCCATGCGCTGAAGGTAGACCCACACTACTACTAGGGAGGGCATTCCCTGATTGTGACCCTGCGACAGTGAAGGAGCGGCGATATATTTCCAAATCAGGATGGGGCGTGTCTTGGAGGGGAATTTGTATTTGTTAGTACCTGCTTCCCTTGTCCTTCCAGATGGTTGGAGGATCAGGGTTGGGAAGGTGCTGTCAGAAGAGCCTCGGTGAATTGCATCTTACAGATGCTGCACTTCACTTAACAAGTTGATTTTTTTGATGCTGAAGTGGGGAATGATGCACTTGACTGATTCACAATCATTGCTCTTGGTAACTGTTATAGCTTGGGACACTAATGCTCCTTTAAAACATACTTAGTGCCATGAAGCAAGAGGAGATGGGCAGTTTAATGCATAGTTGCTTTCTATTCTTTCACTCTTCCCTAAAATGAGTAATTTCATGTGTTCTATTGGTTTCTAACAGGCCTTGCTGGGAGTATTCACTTGTACTTCAATGATTAACAATGTTTTTATCTCGTTTCAGTGACAAGATGTTCCCGGCCTTTGGATTTGGAGCAAGAATACCACCAGATTCCAAAGTGAGCACCATTGGAAATTAATAGAACGTAGAACTGTACAGCACAGTAACGGGCCCTTCAGCCTACAATGTTGTGCCAAACATGACGCCAAATGAAATTAATCCCTTCTACTTGCCGTTGGTCCATATCCCTCCATTCCTTGCATATTCATGTGCTTATCTAAAAGTCTCTTAAACGCCATCATACCTGCCTCCACCACACCCCTGGCAGCGCATTCCAGACTCCTACCACTGTGTGTAAAAAAATTGCCCCTCACATCTCATAGAATCCATACAGTGTGGAAACAGGCCCTTTGGCCCAACAAGTCCACACCGACCCTCAGAGCATCCCACCCAGACTCACCCCTCTATAACCCACCTAATCTACACATCCCTGAAACTACGGGCAATTTAGCATGGCCAATCACCTAGCCTGCACATCTTTGGACCATGGGAAGAAACTGGAGCACCCGGAGGAAACCCACACAGACATGGGGAGAATGTGCAAACTCCACACAGACAGTCACCCGAAGCAGAGATCAAACCCAGGTCCCTGGCGCTGTGAGGCAGCAGTGCTAATCACTGAGCCACCGTGTCTCCTTTGAACTTTCCCCTCTCATGTTAAATACATGCCCCCTAGTTTTAGACACTTCAATTATGAGAAACAGATTCTGACTGTCAACCGTATCGAGCATCTCATAATTTTGTAGCCTTCTATCAAGTCTTCCCTCAGCCTCCACTGCTCCAGAGAAAACAACATGAGTTTTTCTAGCCTCTCCTTATAGCTCATACCTTCTAATCCAGGCTGCATCCTGGTAAAGCATTTCTGCACCATCTCCAAAGCCTCCACATCATTCCTGTAATGTGGTGACCAGAACTGAATGCAATACTCATAAGTGTGGCCTAAGTCTTATAAAGCTGCAACATGACATGCTGACTCTTGTACTCACTTCCCCGACCAATACAGGCAAGCGTGTCATACGCTTTCTTTACCACCCTATCTGCTCCCATGGTCACTTTCAGGGAGCTATGGACTTGAACCCCAAGCTCCCTCTGTACATCAACGCTGTTCAGGGTCCTGCCATTAACTGTATACTTTTTCTTAACCTTTGATCTCCGTAAGTGCAGCATCTCACATTTACCTGAATTAAACTCCATCCTGCATTTGTTTGTAATAGGAATATCCTTCATAAAACATCCCAATGTTACTGACTGTTACTTTGTGCAGTAAGAATGTCACAGGTTAATGTAAAAGGGCCTCCTCTTAACATGTTTACATTGAGCCTGTGCCCTGTTATATGGGACAAATCTCTCCAGTTAGTGAAGTTTTTTTAAAAAAAAGGTTTGCTACAATTGTTACAAATGACTTATGGAAGTTTGCTGACTTTCTACATTTCATGTCGGCACATGTTATAGGATCATGCAATATAGGAGCAGGTGTTGGCCGTTCGTCCCATCGAACCTGTTGTGCTATACTTTCAGGTGATCCGGCAGCAGCACTGGGGAGAGAGAAAAACACAGTTAATGATTCAGGATGGTGTCCTTCAGAACTGGAAAAAGTTCGAGATATTAATGGGTTTTGAGCAAGTGAATTGGGGGAAGTAAACCAAAGGGATGATTGTGACAGAGTGGAGCGAAAGACAGATTTAATAACAAAAGTTTTCAAGATACAAGGTCAAAGCTTTTCATTAAAATTTAAAAGCCCCCTCCCCCATCCCTTGAGGCATAATGTCCCATTTCTCCACTGTGATATCTGTCCTGAATCTCCCTCAAGTTTCTGCCTGCTACCCAGTCTTATTTCAGGCATATCTCACCCTTTGAGCACAGGCGTTCTTTCAGATAAAAGCAAAATACTACAGAAATCTGAAATAAAACCAGAAAGTCCTTGAGAAATTCAGTAGGATCTGTGGAAGGAGAAACAGAATTATCATTTCAAGTGCAAGTTCTTCTTTGCAACTGAAGGATGCTAGCAAATAATTTTTTTCATGCTGTTGACAAAGGGGGAGGAGGTACAACTGGTGAGGGTGCCCAGAGCCAAAGACAAAGAGAATGCTAATTGTGATAGAGAAATGATATAGATGCAGAATAGGTGTTAATGGTATATTATAGGTATAGAATAATAGGTAATCTCTGCTAAGAGCAAACCCATGCAAACAGGACACCGGGTGGGAGCGGCTATAATCAAAATGGAAGATAGTGTTCATGGCCTGATGTTCAAAATGTCTATTTTCTTGTTATTCCCAGAGGCCTTTGTTTTTCAAAGCATATCTAAATGATAAATTTACATATACAATGTCCGATGATTACGTAGCCAATCCAAACATTCTCTAATTTTTAGTTGCAATCTCTGGCTCTCCATAAGAACATAAAACCATAAGATCTAGGAGCAGAATTAGACCATTCAGCCCATCAAGTCTGCTCCACCATTCAATCATGCCTGATATGTTCCTCAACCTCATTCTCCTGCCTTCTTCCAATAATCCTTGATCCCCTGACCAATCAAGAACCTATCTATCTCTTTCTTAAATACACTCAATGACTTGGCCTCCAAAGCCCTCTGTGGCAATGAGTTCCATAGATTAACCACCCTCTGGCTGAAGAAATCCCTCCTTATCTCAGTTCTAAAGGATCATCCCTTCACTCTGAGATGGTGCCGTTGGGTCCTAGTCCCTCCTGCTAATGGAAACATCTTCTCCACGTCCAGTCTATCCAGTTCTGTCAGTATTCTGTAAGTTTCAATCAGATTCCCTGCTAAACTCCATCAAGTACTGATTTGGAGTCCTCAACCGCTCCTCATATGACAAGCCCTTCATTCCCAGCCTTCTTCAGCATCCTGTCTGCCTGTGATGACAGGATCTATGGGCTTGTCCACCAAGGTTCTTTTGTTCCTCGGTATCCCTTAGGGATCTACCATCCATCATATCCTTTCCTTTAGGACATTCCAAACTGCATCACCTTGCATTTATCAGGGTTAAATTCCATCTGCCATTGCTCTGCCCAATTCACTCTGCTCAATATCATCCGACCAACCTTTGATCTTTGCGTGGTTAAATGCTTTTTTGATTTGGGTGATGCTTTTCCTGACTTCTGTAGTTAATCACAGATGGTGGATTCACCATTTAGGATTTTTCTTTACAGAAGGAATATACTTATTCTGAGTATTCTGAAATTGTTTCTGAATGCCTGCCACTGTGTCTCCATTCATCTATCCTCTAGTCTAGTATGCCAGTTCACTTCAGCTAGCTCAGCTTTCATGCCAATATACTCATCCACATTTAAGTGTGAAATACTAGTCTTAGACCCAATCTTCTCCCTTTCAAACTGGATGTTAGAATTCAATCACATTATGGTCACTGCTACCCAGTGGTGCCTTAACACTGAGATTACAAATCACTCCTGTCACATTACACAACACCCAATATGATAAGACATGTTCTCTCACGGGTTTCAAAATGTACTGCTCTAAGAAACAGACTTAAAAATAGTTGATGAACTCCTCATCCAGGATACAGTAGTGCCAATCCTTTCAAGAATGCAGCATGGCATCTCAGTGGTTAGCATTGCTGCCTCACAGTTCCAGGGACCCGGGTTCGATTCCACTCTCAGGCAACTGTCTGTGTGAAGTTTGCACACCCTACCTGTGATTGCGTGGGTTTCCTCTGGGAGCTCTGATTTCCTCCCACCATCCAAAGATATGCAAGTTAGGTGGATTGGCTGTGCTAAATTGCCCGTTGTGTCCAGGGATACAAAGAAAATTACAGCACAGGAACAGGCCCTTTGGCCCTCCAAGCCTGCGCCGATCCAGATCCTCTATCTAAACCTGTTGCCTATTTTCCAAGGATCTGTGTCCCTCTGCTCCCTGCCCATTCATGTATCTGTCTAGATACATCTTAAATGACACTATCGTGCCTGCCTCTACTACCTCCGCTGGCAACATGTTCCAGGCACCCACCACCCACTGCATAAAGAACTTTCCACACGTGTCTCCCTTAAATTTTTCCCCTCTCACCTTGAAATCGTGACCCCTAGTAATTGAGTCCCCCACTCTGGGAAAAAGCTTCTTGCTATCCACCCTGTCTATACCTCTCATGATTTTGTAGACCTCAATCAGGTTCCCCCTCAACCTCCATCTTTCTAATGTAAATAATCCTAATCTACTCAACCTCTCTTCATAGCAAACACCCTCCATACCAGGCAACATCCTGGTGAACCTCCTCTGCACCCTCTCCAAGTGTTGGATGTGCAGGCTAGCTGTGTTAGCCATGGGAAATGCAGGGTTGTGGGTCTGGCTGGGATGCCGTTGGAGGGTCGGTGTGGGCTGAATGGCCTGCTTCCACACTGGAGGGATTCTATGGAACCCTTTGCTTAGCCACTCGCAAGCCTTGTTCCTCTGAATGCTGATGATACTGTGGTATCAAACATGAATCAGGTTTCTAGGAAGAGACTGTTCCCCTTTGTAAAAAGGAGAAGGCGTGGACTTTAATGTGTTGTGCATAAAAACGCAAGGGTGAAGTGAGGTAAAAAACAAACATGTTCACACGGCGAATCATTAGGGTCTGGAATGCACTGCCTGGAAATGTGTTGGAGGAAGGTTCAGTTGAGACATTCAGGGGATGATTATTTGGATTGAAGTAGTTTATAGGGACATGGGGAGAAAGCAGGAGATTGGCATGAGGTAATGATGCTCATTTGAAGAGCTGGTGTAGGAACAATGGGCCAATTATTCTCCTTCTGTGCTATCACAATTCAGGAATTCTTTACATAAGTGAAGCACAGACACCTATTTCAGACAGGCCTCTGGACATGCCTCCTTCTGCCTTTGGTAGGTCATGTACCTCAGGCTGGTATTGAGATTACACTACCCATCTACCGTACTGAGGCTTTGGAGCACATTTACAGTAGGGTTTTGGTCCCAACACGGTGGTAGAAAAGGGGGCAGGCAGACACAGAACTTCTCAATGCCTTGTGAGTTCTTCACCACATTCCTGGACTCTGGAGGCTGGATGAGATAAGGAGTTGTGA